ATATTACTAATCAAAAATTAAGTTTTGATATATTTACCGTAGGAAATTTACAAAATATCTTCATGGAACATGATCTTTACTTAATATCCTAATGATTTTTGGCATAAAAGAAAAATCGATAATTTTGACCCATACAATGTTTTTTTGGCTATTGCTAAAAATAAACCCAAGCGACTTAAGACTGGTTTTGTGGTCCAGGGTCACAAATGCACTAGTCATGATCCATGAGTGAAAGTGCCAGTTAATAGGGAGTTACTAAGACAAAGAGAATAGTTTTTGGCTGGTTATGTGATCTACAAGGGATAGTTTACTTAAACATTCTGTCATCATTTACTCACCCTCATGTGGTTGCAAAACTGTGGGGCACAAAAGATATTTGGAAGAACACTACACTACTCATATTTTAGTAGGGTCCAAACCACATGGGATCCAATTGACTTTCATTGGGAAGGAAAAAAAAAAAACTTTCAATGAGATGAACTTTCAGCATGATCTCATTTGATTGTACATGATTTTAAACATTCTTTTAAAGTTCTATTCATTATTCATTGTTTAGTGCTAAACCCTTTAAGGGGGGAAAATGAGTTGAGCTGTGAATGGACACAAAGGCTCAGTTTTAATGACCAGAAAACCACTGAAATACAAAAAATGGCATATATTTGGTATGGGAAACTTTACCACGATTATAGATGCCTCAAAGTTCAGGTACAGTATGTGGATTTACATTTTAAACCTTCCCTTTAAAACATATTCAACTGTGTCTTAAACAACACTTGTCCCCAGGATTCATTTCTTACTCCGTATCCCATATGTGACAACTCTCTGTCTCATGTGATTGGTTGGGCATCCTTCTCACTGGTAGATGAGCAAATAAATCTGCTTCCGCCCCACTCTTTATAGAGATGGAGTGTCCTTGGTTAGAGTTTGCGGCCCATCTTTTATCTTTTACACAGGGTTATTTGTTAAAGACTATGCCCTCTCCTCGCTCCCATCTCTCTGGATGTCTTACAGGACCAGAGGCAGGTTTTCTATTAGACACAGCATGAATTATGAAATGCAGGCGGTCAGGAGGTGATAGACAGTGAGTCATAATGCATGTAAAACACTGGTGGGGTTGCTGGAGCTGTTTTATTATGTCAAATGTGGCTGAAGGCAACTCAAGTACATCAACAGAAAATATGCCTCATGAAATAAGAGCATTAGATTGCACACACTATGACCCTTATTCACACAAACTAGTGGATGTACTCAGAAAATATATGTTTACTGACAATATAATCATTTCCCCGCTCCCTCTCCAGTTAATTGCCAGTAATGTGAAATAAGTTTTCCTGTAAATTGCTGTGGTATGAAAATGTTATCAAAAATGAGAATTAAAATAAATCCTGAAAGACTTAAAATCTCAGATTTAAAAACATTTGAGGAATACACTTTAATTCAATATTCTTTCAACTCTCTGAAGGGATCCACAGATGGCACGATTCCTTGTGAAGAAAAAAAATCCCTCATATTACCAGTTAACAGTCCTTTGAAACATGTTGATTGTCTAGTGCAGTGTTTCCCAACCTTTTTTTAATTTCAAATGATCATATCGAAGTTATAAATTCAAATATTGTGACAAAATAAATTTTGTAGGGTGCCACAAGTTTGTTAAAATTTCCAAAGGGTGCCGCGACTAAAAAAAGGTTGGGAAACACTGGTCTAGTGGACTGTATGAAAGCAGTAAGCCACTTGAAGCGCTGCGTTTCGACTATCTTAAAATACAATGTAATGCACAACTTCAGCTGTTTATACCATTTAAAAACAGTAAAATAAAATACATTTTAACTACATTTAAAAAATCATAATAAATATAATAATACATAAAAAATTGGGCAATTAAATATGAAAAATTATGAATTTCAAATATAAAAATTCAAATAGCTAATTATCCATATTCATTAAATGTTTCTATAGGCAAAAACTTTCCATTTAATAGAGGTATTCTTACTGATATTTATATTGATACCAATATCATATTGACCTTGATAGTACTTGGTATCAGATCAAAAAGAAAATAAGTGCTCTCACCCGTCTCTACAGCGAAATCCCAAGAGACTGCTAGTCAAAGTCCTCGAGTCTGTAGCGCAGTCATACAATTCCTTTCCTGGGGACTTCTGCAGCTCTTTATACTGTCAACGTCCCACTTTCTCCGGCAGAGACAAATGGACAGGCCCAGCTCTGCATCAGTCGCTAAAAGTGCGGCATCTCCAGGGTACAATTGAGTCTTTTTCTCGAAACTCAAGGAAAGACAGTTAACTGCACTTTTAACAATGAAGCCAAGACCAGCGCAATTTCAGACATAAACTGGGCTGCTCATTTTTCACACACCGCACTTTTATTCCCTGCTCGTACTTTTATCCACACAGTTACTCTGTAATGGACTCAAGATCACCTTCAACATTTCAAAATGATGTCTATTTTTTCTATATTGTATATTAGCGGTGAGGGTCACAGTTTTTCAGTTCATGTAATCGGCAAAAATGACCCATAAGTGCACTAGAACTATGAAAAGAACACAATGTTAAAAAATCATAAAAAAAGAAGAAGAAAAATTTTTTTTATTTTATTTTCCTTGTTGTGGCAATAAAGATTCATTTAATTCTGTTTAAAAAATCTGTTAATTAACTTTAATACATTTAGTTAAGTAATTTTTAACAATATTTTTAAAGTTCTAAACAAGTTTGGTACCAACTTTGTTTACAGTGTTTTTTTGCTATTGAAGCTGCTGATAGCTCATTAAAGAGCAGTTGTCCAAGATCCCCTTGTCATCTTCTAGAAAGGTCACAGTAACTTTACCACAAACACACACCACTGATGGGACCTGAGTAAAAAAAAACTGACTGTGAAAGTCAGAGAAACAAAGAAAAGTGAACAGCACTGACAGAGAGAATGAAGAATGAGACTTTTGAACTTGGGGTCTTTGCTTCTCTGTGGCTCTCCCTTGTTTTCTGTTTTCTCTCTCTCTCTCTCTCTGGAGTATTGACCTAAAGAGGCGAGCTATTCCATTGGATGGAGAGAGAAGCGCATTACTCACTGATGTGCATCTTCATGCAAAGAATCATCACTTCACACTCCTGCCTCCCAATTAGCAGCAGAGATATAGGTCAATGGATGCCTGTGTATCACTAGAGAAAAATGAACAGAAAACAAGCAGCTTCTGGGAAAAGAGATGCACAGATGCTGTTTCAGAAATGATACAAACAAAATTATATCTGAATATAGAAAATACCATATCAAAAATATGAAGAGATCTTATTTTCGGTTATTTTCTGTTTGTATTCTTCCTCTTGTATAATCACAGGGCATGTGATTCTGTCTGCTGGGTCATTCCATTCATTTCTTTTGAACTCTGTAACTGCTTAAAAATAAACATGCTTGACTTGTATTCCTTCTATAAAAGGAACTCTAAAAAATAGAAATGGGTAAAACGTCAGTACCTGGATGATGATGTCATTAAGGACCTGGCTTTTGTTACTATGTAGGGATTTTACAGAAGACACAATAGAAAGTGATATTGAGGACACAGGAACAAAACTATAAACTGACCTAAAATTATATTTCCAATAAAACAAAAGTTGGAGAAAGGAAATTGGAGACTGGAGAAAGGAAAAAATAGCAACACATGAAACAGATGTTGACAAACTGCCAGTTTATCAATTAAGAATTTGGTTCATATCACCCTGGACAACATTTGTTCAAGCTAAATTTCACTGAATTAAATGAAATGACATTATTTTACTTAATTGTGACCAAAAGAAAAAAAAAAAACCTTCTAAAATAAAAAAGTGAGCTATTGTGTCCATTTTAAGACACACAGAAAAACAGCATAGAATAGAATCCAAATGTAAAAGTAATATATAGTAAAGTAACAGCATGTTACATTTTTATTTTAGGTGTATTGCATTACATCTTGCGTACTTTCTTAAAAGAGGGGCATTTATGAAGTTCATTAAGGAAAAGGCTATTTAAAAGCAAATTTTAGAACGTAAAAATATTCCTATTATACTATTTGATGACATTGAAAATACACAAATTTACATTTATTATTAATCGGCATGTTATTTATTA